TCTTTCCTGCCTATGCAGGGGGTCAGACTCGATGATCTATTGAGGTCCCTTCCGACCCTAGCGTCTATGAATCTATGAATCCATACAGGTGCCCTTGAATGAGTTTTAGTAATGTAATGAGTTTTAATAATAATGTAAATAGTTCAACTTTACATGACTGCTTAGCCATTGAGTGTACACTGGTGTCCAAGCTAGTGGTAATTAAGCAAAAACTCCATTATCTGTTAACAGATATCCAGTGAAAGAAAATTTACATGCAAACCTCTATAATACTAATGTTCAGGTGAACAAGTGCATCTTGTAATTTCCTCAGAAGCAAGGGGAACTTGTACAGCTAAGCATCTTCTCTCTCAATCCAATGCACCAGAATCCCCGGGCATATGCCAAGGCTTCTCTCACCCACTCTGAGTAGAAAGGGCCTTCACCCAATTTTGAATTCCTGCAGATCCTTTTCTAGTCAAGATTTATGTCCTTGATGCACTGAGACCACATTCTCAAACACAGCACTAACCACACTACTTTTCCTCACTGCTGTCAGAAACCTTGCATGACAGATCCCTCAGATCTTGCTTAGGGCTTCTTCCTAATGACTCCACAGAAGGAGATGGGCCATATCCTTTCCTTTTCCACCCTCTTTGGAAAAACAATGAATAATGTCCACAAATGGAATTAGAGAGTTTCCAAAGCCCCTATGCCCATTAAATGGACAGTAGCATTCTTAGGAAATTAGGCTGAAAGAACCTTTGGTCCTCCAAACTACTCTCTTTCTTCAACAATAATCAACTTTTCTGTAGGTGTCGTCTATCCCAGGGCTGCTCAACCCTCAGCACGTGAGCCAGATCTGGCTCACAGAACCATACTATATGGCCTATGCTGCTCCCCTCATGGTTGAAAATTTGGCAGCCAGAGAGTGGCTGCAGCTAACTACCGTTCCCCTGCTATCAAATTTCCAAACCTGGAAGGAGCCCCATGGGCCAGAAAGCATGGCCTTGTGTGTTAGACTGAGCTAAGTGGGGCAGCAAGGAGGCACGCAGGAGTGAGCAAAGCGGTGTGGGGCTGAGTGGGGTGGCACAGATGCACGCGGGGCTGAGCCAGGTGGTGTGGAGCTAAGTGAGGCAAGGCCAAGCACAGTGGCACAGGACACGATCCTGGCATACGGGGCTCAATCTGGCCCATGGATCAGCTGTGTGCCATTTATCCATCCCAGGGGCCAAAAGATTGAGCACCACTTGTCTACCCAGAAGTTATTATGCCCTCAGACCTTCAACCGTATCTTTTCTATCTTAGTCTGTAGCCTAAGAGCACGTCAAAGAACAAAAATGTTCATTATAAAGCTAAAAGCTAAGCCAAATCATTAATAAACAGATGTAGAAAAAACATTAATTCATCCCTACTATTATACACACAGGGAGAAGCATCACAATAGCTGATCTTGAAGGGGTAGCAAGCAGGAGTCTATGCATCTTTTTTTACTTCTCATAATTGTTGGTTGTATAAAAGCTGCATAAATCAAGTGGAAAACTTTTATTTTTTTGCTAATGGAGCTCACATAATAGAATTACAGGAACTGCAGTTCAGATTCTATTCTTTGATGTACATACTGTAATGACAGTAACTGTGAAATCAAGCTCATTTGAGGGAAACACCAGATATACAATACAACTCAGATTCTTCTATCTCAGCACTACTAAAAGATTAAGTAGATATTGATCATCCAAAGCGAGGGATGTAGTGGTTCACTATGGTGCTGTGATAAACAAACCCTGATCAATATCACTAAGGTCTGACAGATTCTTCAGAAAAATTTTGTTAACAAGACGAGAATAACACTCAAAACCCACTTATAATAGGTTGATGGATTTCAGTACAGTATGTCACGATATCACAAAAGTCATAACAGCTCCCTGGAAACGAATGTAAATGGAAACTGAACCACTTAGCTCAGTTTCCTGAGTGTCCTTCATATACAATAGCCTAGCATTTTACTAACTTTTGGAAAAGCTGCTTTCACACCTGGCCACAACCTTGGTAACAGATTTGCTGTCATGTTACATTGTGACAAAAGGGATGAAACTTGCTTTTATTGTTGATCACTTCTCTCATCAATGTACCATATTTTCTCATATTCTACATGCCCCCAAATAAGACATGCCCCTGTTTGTGGAAGGCAGGATGGAGAAACAAAGATCTTTCTGGAGTCATAGTTGAGCATATGAAAGAATAAATCCTCCTGGAAAAACAAAGTGTCCAGGAAGTGTGGCATCCCAGGAGACAGTCTGAGTGAGGCAGCAGGAACTTCCTGGTATGGCAGGACAGCAGCAAGGTCCCAGACTCTTGCAGGGGCAGGAGCAAGACTGTTACTTCTTTATGTAAGTTCCTATAATCAGGGGTGTCAAATGTATGGCTGGATCCAGCCTACAGAATCACTCCATCCAGCCTGCTGGTAGTCCAGCAGGCTACCAGAAGTTGGGGGTGTTGCCTGGCACAGAATCGGGGTCCCCGGACCCCAAAGAACATGGTCACAGGTGGCAGCCTCCCAGACCTGTGCTGCCACCCAAACACAGCTCTGTGCTGCTATGCAAATGCAGTCCCACGCTGCTGCATGCCTCCGGATGAGTACTGCTGCCTGAACATGGCTCTGCACTGCTGCCCAGTCCTAGACCCACTGTAGTTGCTGCTGGCCCCACAGATCTGGCCCTGGAGGAACCCCTGCAGTCCAGATCCAGTTTGGGACCCCAAATGAGTTTGGCACTCCTGCTGTAAATAATAAAGTATAGATTCTACACCATATATTAAAGATTGCTTGCAGCAGCTCACTTGCCCTGAGCCGGCTCAATTGCTGCTTCAGGCACAAGTGACAGTGCTTCATCAAGAGATACTGCAAGTTCTTTAGTGGCTGTGAGAAAGTTAACACTGGACTCTCTCCCTCTACCTGCTCGATCACAGAGAAATGGCAGCTATCTGAGCACAGTGTTTGTATGCATCTATTTCTGCAAAAACAAATCAGCTTCCCTACTTAAGAAACGTACTCCAGTTTTGGAGGGCTGGCTCCAGGGCTAGGGACAGACATTACACATAAACCAGTTTAAGTTATCAGAAACTGATTTAAACTTGTAACAGAACAGAAGTTCAGTGCACATAAGCCAGTTTCAAAATGGCTGAAACCAGTTTGAGATAAACCTGGTTGAATACAGTATCAGACTTAACTGATTTGGGTCAAACTGGTTTATGCAATGTCTGTACCAGAACCCTTGCTAGTTTAAGTTAAACCAGAGTTCCTCAGCATGCTCTCTGGGCTAGGCTCTCTCTGCCATTAAGGCAAAGTGGGCAGGGAGGGGGTTAATTCTTCCTCTCCCCCCACCGTAGTGGTCCCTGGGGGGCAAAAGGGATAGAGGGAGGGATTAACTTCGTCCCTGCCCTCTTCACCTTAACAGGGTAATGCCAGGACGGCGTCTGCCCATGTCCCGCTGCTGGAGCAGGAAGGGGATGGGAGAGAGCAACAGCCACTGTCAGAGTGCCCAGGAGGGGGTTTATTCCCCCTGTCCCTTCCCTAGCTCACAGGCAGGGACTGTAGCTGTCCCAGCATGGCCCCCTTAAGGCTAAAGGGGCAGGGAGAAGGTTAATTCCTCCCACTCACCAGGGGTGGCCCTGCCCCTGCCGCCTGGCCTGGCCCAGCCCAGCTGATCCCCAGCCAAGCCAGCCGCATGGGGCTTCCTGCCCCAAGGTGGTGGGGAGCAGGGGGGGAAAAAGAGG